CTGCCCGCGGGACCGCTACGGTCATAGGTTTTTCCCCGCAAGGGGCCCGGGTACAATGGTCCAGAGACTGAGCGCCCGGGTAAACAAACCTCAAGGAAAAAAAAAAAATAAAACTAATCGGTTTGATATACGAGCCGTTTATTTTGAAAGTGGCCTAATTTCATTTATCAATTATTATTAATTTTCGGTTGCACGTGGTAGAAATTTCATTAAAAAAAAAAAAATAATTTACTGTTCGTTCCCCAAATGTCAAGCGGATATATTAAAAAGTGTTGCAAAGGTAATAATTTTATTGTAAATGAAATAAGACATGAAGATTTTGTACTAACAAAATTATTAAAAGACACAATTTGAATTAGGCTACTTTCAAATTAAACGGTTCATATTTATACTGTTTCTATTTATCAAAATCTTCCTAATATTTACAACATTTTTAAGATAATCGAAATACCAACAAAAACGAAAGCTGAATGGATTATAAACAATTGTCGAAAAGGATTCGACGAACCTACAGGTTATCAACCATGGTTACACGAAAATTGGTCGACAAAAATTCATGAGGATTTAAATATAACATATTGTTTACCCTTATCAAACGATTCACCGCAACATTGGTGGAAAAGGTATATTTATAATGATTTATTTACGATAAATTTAAAATATCATGATTAATATTATTATGATGTTTTATTTAAAAAAAAAAACAATTAAATGAATAATTGAATGATTACATTTACAAAATATAAAAATAGCTTTAAAAAATATTAAAAAAAAAAAATTCTTTTCAAACTTTTTTTTTATTGCAATGTACAGTCAATCAAAAACCGATAAATTTTGTTTAAAGTATTTTTTTTCGTCAGGTAATCGCAAGTACTTAAAAAATCGTGAAAAAAGTTATATGGGACACCCATATATATTATTAACATAAATTTATATTAAATATGTAGGTAGAGAAATAGAAGAGAATAAAAGTTTAATGAATAATTTTTTAATTTATAAAAATAAAGAAAATGTATAAATTCCGTTTCTAAACAAAAAAGTTAATATATATATATATATATATATACATTTCTTACTTAACAAATCTTTCTATCATTTTATTTATTTATTTTTTTCTTCCTTTTTTTTCTTCTTTTGATCATAAATATGTATATATAACATTATAAAAATATAATGAATAAATGAAAAAAAGCGCGAATTATAAAATAACGCAAGATTACATTTCCTATCGCGCAAAAGTGTTTAAAAATTAAATACAAATTAAAAGATATTACATTGTTTATTATAATATCGTATACTAAAGCTTAATTTATAATTATTTTTGAAAAAAAAATAACAAGATTATCAACCTTCAAGAAAGATACCAGCATATATCGGAAGGATGACGACTTCGTTTGCAAAAATTGTTATCTAAATCAACGAGAAAAAAAGGAAAATGAAAATACCGAGGAAAAGGATTATTAGTATTAAAATATATACGTTACATATATATATATTTTGTTTTTTTATAACATATTACATACATGTGTATATATATATATAATATATATATATCTATAAAATTTGATACGAGTGGAATTGAAAAAAAAACAAAAAACAAATCAAACTGCTTTTTCTATTGTTTTGTAAACAATCTTTTCGCGTCATATTAAACAAAAATCTTGACGAAGAAGAAACGGATATAAAACGGATAACGGCAAAATAATAAAACTGTAAAATACAAATTTGATTTTCATCATAATTGAATAACATTTATTACGATCTAACTAGACACGTATAATAATGGTAAGTCAATCATAAAGAAAAATTGATCAAAAAGTCATTTGACTTAATTTATTAACACTAGATATACCACCATTTTCTACCACACTAGTCCAAATGACTGGTGTATACAAAAAAATAAAAAAAAATGCTTTTTGAGGCTTCCAGTCTTTATTTATTCTTAAAAAATAACAAAAAATGCTTAACAATAATAATTTTAATAGATATTTTTCAATAACAAAACGCTTAATTATTTACAGAATTCAAATGCTACATGAAATATAAATTTTGAATTAAAATGGCCAATACTATATCTAATGTTAATCAATGATTTTCATTAATTTTTCTATTTCTTAATTAAAACTGTGTTTAATGATTAAATGAAAATATTGTAAAATTAATGGTGATAGCGCGAGTGTTTATCGGTGCACGTTGGACAAGGTGGAGTTCAGATCGGTAATGCCTGTTGGGAATTATACTGTTTGGAACATGGTATTCAACCAGACGGGCAAATGCCCTCAGATAAAACAGTCGGAGGTGGGGACGATAGTTTCAATACATTTTTTAGTGAGACAGGTGCAGGAAAACACGTTCCAAGAGCTGTTTTTATGGATCTAGAACCTACTGTAGTAGGTATGATCATTATAATCTCCCATTGATTTTTTTTCATGATTACTTATATAGATACATATATATATATATAAGATTAATTCTAAACGAGTATGTATATATATATTTTGTTTTGTTTTTATCTCTTTTTACATTAGACGAGGTACGTACCGGAACTTACAGGCAACTCTTTCATCCGGAACAACTGATAACAGGAAAAGAGGATGCTGCGAATAATTATGCTAGGGGCCATTATACCGTTGGCAAAGAAATCGTGGATTTAGTATTGGATCGTTTACGCAAATTAGCCGATCAATGTACAGGACTCCAAGGATTTCTTATTTTCCATGCATTTGGTGGTGGGACAGGTTCTGGATTTACTAGCCTATTAATGGAACGATTATCCGTCGATTATGGGAAAAAATCTAAACTTGAATTTGCCATCTATCCATCGCCCCAGATATGTACTGCAATAGTTGAACCGTATAATTCTTTGCTTACTACTCATACCACTCTTGAACATTCTGATGCTGCATTTATGGTTGACAACGAAGCCATTTATGATATATGTCGTCGTAATTTGGATATTGAAAGACCAACATATACGAATTTAAATCGTTTAATTGGTCAAATTGTTTCATCCATTACTGCATCTTTGCGTTTCGATGGCGCACTCAACGTTGATCTTACCGAATTTCAAACTAATTTGGTACCTTATCCGAGAATACATTTTCCACTTGCTACCTACGCACCAGTCATTTCAGCGGAAAAAGCATATCATGAACAATTAACTGTAGCAGAATTGACTAATGCTTGCTTTGAACCAGCCAATCAAATGGTTAAATGCGATCCACGTCATGGGAAATATATGGCTTGTTGTATGTTGTACAGAGGTGATGTTGTACCAAAAGATGTCAATGCTTCTATTGCAACTATCAAAACCAAACGTACTATACAATTCGTTGATTGGTGTCCAACTGGATTTAAGGTACACTTATATTACATTGACCATTTAATTCATATCAATTTGAGCTATTGTAAAAATTCATATTTTCTTTTTTTTTTTTTTTACTTGGTTATTATAATATATATATAATATTACTATATAAATTATTATATAGTATTATTAGAATTAATGTTATATATACTACTAACACTATACTACTATATATAAATATATATATTTATATATATATTTATTTAGTGTATTAAAAGAATAACATTAATAATTATTTTGATTTGATTTGTATCACAGTTAAGTGTTTATATAATAATAGTATTTAATCATTTTCAGGTTGGTATTAATTATCAACCACCTACAGTTGTACCAGGTGGGGATCTCGCCAAAGTACAACGCGCAATTTGTATGTTGGCTAATACAACTGCAATAGCTGAGGCATGGAGCAGACTTAATCACAAATTTGACGTTATGTACTCAAAACGTGCATTTGTACATTGGTACGTAGGAGAGGGTATGGAAGAAGGAGAATTTTCAGAAGCACGTGAAGATCTAGCTGCATTAGAAAAAGATTACGAAGAAGTTGGCTTGGATTCGGTTGAGGGTGAAGGCGAAGGAGGAGAGGAATATTAATTTGTCATTAGTTTATAAAAATGAATTATCATTTAATGTATTTAAGAATTTCTGTATTAAATTAAATAACGTTTCTCTTTGATTAATATTATTTTAGTCGTATTTTTAAAGCACTGCAAAATTAGTTCAATTTAATTAGATTTGGCATGCGTATCTATGCGATATTTTTTTTTAGTAATAACAATAGTATACAGAGTGTTTGAGGTTTATTCGTAAACAACTGATTATATTCTTCGTTCAAAAATAAAATCAAAAATGTTTCATAAACATAAGTCATTCGAAACTTGTCATGTCGTAAACAGCACACTGCAACAGTGTCTAACTTGTATTCGCATAAGCGGGCAACATTTTGATCAATACATTTAAATATTTGTACAATTTGTTATAACTTTTTAATAAAGTTTCCAATGATTTATGTTTATAAGACATTTTTGTCTTATTTTCGAGAATATAATACACTGTGACATATACGTGTGTACAAAAAATCTCAGACACCTCTGCATCTATAAATAGTACAATTTTCTTCAAATTTTAACTAATTTGATCATTTCTGTTATTTTTTTATTACAATTTTTTTATGTTCAGCTACAGTCCGAGGTCCGTCAACTTTTTGCTGCACTTTAAATACTGCCAATATTTTTTTTGGTATACATTCGTTAACATTGCAAGTTATTATATCTAAGATTAAGCGTATATCGTTATTTTCAGAACCCTTAGGAATTTGAATTGACGTTGGTATTGTAAACGAGCCATGTAAACATTTGGCTATCCAAGTATCATTTGGTAATGACAATGACCATTTCTGAGGTGCTTCAGAATTCAGTTTCAAACCATCTTCAAATATAAAGTCAAATGTTATTGTAAGTTCACCTCCATTTGTATCAATAATCGTATCAAAAGTATACACTTCATCAAAGTTATCCTTATCATTATCTTTGGTTGGAAGAATAAAGGAAATCTAAAAATATGAATAAACATTAAATTATGAATAAATTGATTAGTTCATTAACGAATATATTTTATACTCACGGTCGAAATAGTATTACTTTTTAAATTAATTTTTTTAATAGAATGATTATTTGTATCTGCTACGTATAAAGTATCAGCTTTATTATTAATCGCAAGTCCACTTGGTTCGTCAAACTATAAAATCATATTTTCAATTAAATATGTTTCTGTAGAAACAAATTATATAATAATACTTTAACACATTCGCGACCGACATATTTTTTCCAATTCTTATACTAAGTACCGGCAAAAATAATAAAATTTTGAAAAAACTATAATTTTTACATATATTCTATATATTTATATATACATATAAATATATAAATATAAGTTTGAATTATTTAAATTTATATTTAAATAATTAAATATAAATTTAATATATGAAATTTATATAAATATGTAAATATTAATTTTATATATATATATATATATATATATATATATAGATTTTTAAATTAAATTTTTAAAATGTAAAATGACGTGAATCACGTCAACGTTAACCAGGAATAGAACTTGAAAAAACGTGAATTCACGTCAGCGGTCACGAATGTGTTAATTAATTATCTCTTACAATGAATGATTTATCTGGTTTTCCAGCACCATATAGTGTTTTACAATTTCCTGTGGGATCAACTTTTTTAATTTTGTGATTGTAAGTATCTGCTATATAAGTTTCTTGTTGACTAGAATTCCATATTATTCCTAAAGGATGTTGAAGTTTTGCAGTATGACGAGTACCATCCACATCTCCAAAGTCATGTAAATTCTAAAATAATTCATACGATTGTTATTAAGAATTATATATTAATAAAAATTTAACATTGTCATTATATTTGATGTTATATATTTAACCTGTGGATTTTTATCAGCACCACACAATGTTGAAACTTTTCCATCTTTTAAATGAACCTCTCTGATACTGCTACTTTCACTATCAGCAAAATATACAGTATTATATTCTTGAGCAATTGTTATCCCAGATGGTTGAGCCAATGTTGCTGCATGTGGATACGAATTATTACGATTCCCTTCTCGACCATTTCCAACAATAGCTGCACACACACCAGCTTTATACAATCTGTTAAATAATACGATAACAAATAAATAATAAGATCTAATATAAAAAAGAAAAGATAATTAAATCAAATCAATATATTATTCTGTAAAGTAAAATATTAAACTTATTTTACTTATTTTTCCACCAAACAGTATCTTCTAAAAAGAGTGCCCAAATTTGATGTGTGCCTGCTATTGCAATCAATAAAATTGGTACAGTAACTTTATCACTATTATGATAATATATTGCCACGTCCCAAGGAGAAGAAATTGCTTGATCTGTACCAAATTTTCCTCCTATATAATCATGACCTTGTTTTCCTGTACCTGCTACAGTAGTTACTGTTTGCTTTTTCAGATCAATCTAAAATAAATATATAACATATCATAATAAATGTATAAAATTGCACAACAAGTTAAACACGTTAAACGCCAAGTATCTTTTGCTTAGCTTTTTATTTCTAATCAATTATCCGAAGAAATATAGAAGAATATCAATCATTGGTAATTGATACAATCTAAATGGAAAGTTTAAAACCAATTTATAGATATCGGTGTAACGCGTTTAACATGTTAACAGAAATTGTTTAAAAATTCATATTAAAATTACCCTTCGAATAGCATGATTTTCATTATCAGCAACATATATCATTTCATTGAGTACACAAGTACCTTGTGGTGCATTAAACTTGGCTTCGTTAAAACTACCATCTTTAAAACCTGCCTCGTATCTACCTATAACGTGTTCTATATTTCCATTAATATCTGCTATTAAAATTCTATTGTTGCCAGTATCCGATACAATTAATTTTTCTCCCGTTTCAGAAGAATACATTTCTACTTTGCCAGGAAATCGTAAAATATCAGTTGAAGCTGGTAATAAATGTATAGCTGGTGCTATAGGAAGAGTATGATCAGATATTTCGTTTATTGATGTAAAATAATCAAGTGCCACTTTTGTATATAAAAATAATTCTTCTCTATGACCTTCTCCTAATGTAACCATTAATGGTTGTCCTCTTGGACCTGAAATTCACATTAATTTAAATATATTACACATATAACAAATTTTGACATATTTCAAAATATTATGAAATATTTATGCATACCTAACATTATCATCGTTGGCCAGCACATCACTCCGATAGCTTCCCACATTGAAAGTGTTGAATCATTAACAACGGGATGCATTATGTTATACCTTTGCACGGCTGACCTTATTTTTGTCGAATCACGCTCATTAGAAAATTTTGCACTATGAACACCAATCTAAAAGAACAATACTAAACATATTTTCATGTTCTTATAAACTGTATAATTTATAATATTGAAACTATATTATTAACACTAAACGTACCATACTAATTAAATGTCCAATTTTAAATTTTGAATGAAAATTTTGCTCTCAATGTTATTTATTACCTTCATAACAATTATAAATAATAATTTTCTATTAATTATTCAACGTTGTATTGTATTATTATTAAATTTTCTATTATCTGCATTTAATGTTATTTATCATTCGAATCGTTGTAATATAAAAGATATGCAAAAAGAAAAAAACTGTTTGTATGTTTAGTGTTATTATTTTCTATTGTAAAAAAATAACATGTAAATAAGTAACTTTGAAACTTTAATATTTAAGATAAACTCCAAATCGATTAACTCTAGAAAATAAAAAGTAAAGAAAATTAATAAGTTATACACTTTATCATATCATTTACTATTGTACAATCATAAAATTGTTTTCATTTAGTAATGTTAAGTCTTATTAAAGAAATTTATAAAATAATAAAATTGAAATAAATTCTAAAAGTAGAGTTAATCGCTTTGATCCATGCGAGTGGTTTTTATTTAATATTTGTAAATATTTACTAACCACAACTAAACCACGCTCTATAGAGAACTCTTTTTCTAATGCTTCCAAATCAGGTAGAATATGCATACAGTTGATACAGCAATAAGTAAAAAAGTCTAATATAACTATTTTGCCATGGAGATGTTTCTTCATAGAGAGATTCTCGGAGACATTGAACCATTCCAAGCCTAACATTTAAAGAAATTACTTCACTATGTGTACACATAATATCATATGTGACCACATTTAAAATTAATAATAGATAGATTTGTTTTCAAATAATATCCATGATTAAATAAGACTTTTATTATACAAAATATATATATATATATATATCACAGTAGTGCATTTTAACACAATAAACACAGTTATTAACATTATTTTAAGATAAAGTTAATCGTTGGATCAACAAAACTTTCAGCTATCGTTAGTAGGTAAACCATAATCATTATGTAAACTTGTTACTGTGATATTATTAATTTCAGCAACGGCACCAAATACAACTTGAGTTGCATCCTTAATATCATTGTATTCGTGCAAAAGGTTCGTAGTTTGTTTCATAGTAGGATATTTATCTCTCGAAGATTTCAAGTTGTTATACTCTGCATCCAATTTCTTCTCGAGTTGAAGAAGTTTGAAGAACTGTTGTTTCTTTTCATCTTCTAAAGGAATTTTCTTTAATTCCAGCTGCTTATTCTTTGTCACTATCATCGATTCGTCCTTCTCATCATTTTTCTTATATCCATCCAAAGTGTCATCGATGAACGAGGAAGACATTGTGAGAGAACAATCAATGTGTTCAGACCTATGATTCAATCGATAAAAGGCCATGCGTGTTTATGATATATACACTCAATCTCAATTTCTATATAATATTGAATAAAAGAAAAATAATTATGAGGTTATTGGTACTGTTTAAATAGTTTTTTTTTTTAAACATAAAAATAGCATATTAATGTATTAAATTCTACTCTACAGTTATTTACAAATCATTTTTATAACCTTTATTTACGTTTTTCATATTTAATTATAAAAAGTTTAAACAATGATAACATAATTGAAATAATGTTAATAAGATATATTTACAATATATATATATAATATATATTCAACTTCAAAGTTATTTACGAATTATTATTATTTTCCAATTAGATTATAAAAAGTTTAAATAATAAAAAATATAATTTTTGAATAATATTGATTACTTTAAAAATATTTATCATTTTATAGGTGTTACAGCACCAAAGATTTACGTTATTATAATGTTAGTATGTAAATACGTTAGTAAATATGTTAATGGAAGAAAATATAATAACAAAAACCTTTTATTTTAATGTCACACCTTGATATATTATAATATACCAATATCAAATAACTATTTCAAATATAACAACAATAGAAAAAATTTGTATAAAAAATGAGATAACCTTTTTGGAAGTCCTTTACACAAGCTTCAGTATTAGCAAATGTTTTTATATGGCGTAGAACTAGTTTTTGTTTTTCCGTTTGATCGGTAATCGTTTGAAAATCGTGTCGAAATTGTTCGCAAGCATCTGTTAATATTCTCACTGTATCCGAAACACTCATTTTTTTATTCACTTGTCCGCACATGAACGATGATGACTAACGAATGAAAGAAAAAAAAATAAAACAAAAGAACTTCTCCAAACGTCGAATTAGTTTAACTAAAAAAAAAAAAATATGCTCCAATCACACATATACGTTGACGTATTTGTAGAGAAGCAATGTAGGCGTATGAATACAACAAAGTAGTTCCACTATTAATGCGCATGTCAGACAGTGAAGCCAGATCACGGAACATTTTTACCCCTTCCCTCGAGCCCAGCACGCCTCGCACATAACGAAATGTTACGTGTCGGTGTGTCAGGAAACCGAAAGAAGCCGAGGGAAGCCGAGGTTAGCTGCACAACAGAGGAGAAATAATAATAATATAATAATATAATATTATATTATTATATAATATTAATAATATATAATATTATTAATATATATATATATATATATATATATATATATTAATTATATATTAATATTATAATATTATATTATATTATTATATATAATATTTTGTTTTACACAACAATGTGTATTGTGTCCATGTATTTCTCCACGGCGCGTGGTACGGGTATTATTTCTTCTCTGTCGCGCAGCTAACCTCGGCTTCCCTCGGCTTCTTTCGGTTTCCCGACACACCGACACGTAACATTTCGTTGTGCGAGGCTTGCTGGGCTCGAGGGAAGGGGTAAAAATGTTCGGCGGTCTGGCTTCACTGATGTCAGATATACCTTAACCAAGGTGGGCCTTCATCGATCGCTGTATTCACGTTCGCTCATTGGCTAACGAATTTAGACTCGCTGTAATCTGACCAATCAAAATTGCGTTAACGCGTAGTAGCAGCTGCTTGTGATAGGAAATGTTCTTAGGTCATTTCCGTCTTCTGAGCGGTCTGTCAGCCATTGTTCGTCAGTTTGCCGGGTTGGGAAAAGGTAGCGAAGACTTAAAAATTATTATTTCTGGAGAAATATCTAATTTGTCCTTTCCTTAACTCTATCACTACCTTCCTTAAATAATTATCTATAAATATTTGTATCAATTATTATTGAAAACTAATTTTAAAGTAATTTTTTCTTGATTTTGTAGAACTAACAAGAGTTGATATCGATTTACTAGTGGAAAGGATAATTGTACGTTGCAAATAGAGGACTAGGGGACCAGAAATGTATACCGCAGCATATACGAGCCAAACGAGGTAAATTATATAAATATTGTTTTTCTTAATAATCATAAAAATTGATAGAATCTCTACATTGATTTGTTAAATACTCAAAATGTGTTTGCGAAGATAGTAGAAGACGGGGGTTTTATTTTTTATGTATATATTCAACGTTTCTCAGTCAGCCATTTTGTTTGACGTAGTTAATGATGACGATTCTATATCTTATAGTCTATACCTAGTAGCACAAAATATTGAAAAATATTGAATACATGTGTATTAATTATTAAAAAGACATTGAATACACATAAAAATTAGTTTTTCTCCTACGAACGTGATCATAATTAAACTTCAAACGTGTTGTTTTATGAGCTTCATTTACACAAAATCATTTGCTTGAATTTTTTGAATAAAATACAAAGTACGTTTCTCAAATTCATATGTACCATATTAATCACTTTTTCTAGAACAATTAATCTCTCACGCTATTCATTTAAAATCTAAATAAAAAATAAAATAATTTTTTATATTTAATATTAAATACACATGTATTCAATATTTTTCAATATTTTGTGCTACTAGGGTACTCTTTGCTCCAAAATGAATATATCATCATTTTAGTATTTACTATAAAATAAAAAATAGTTTATTTTAATTTATAGCTTATAATATTTTCTCAAAAAATAAATTATTATCATTTTACGATAAACCACATAATTACATAATATTTAATGAAAAAATTTTAGAATTATTTTATTTAAAGAAAATATTTATTTTAATTCATCAATTTTTAATGGACCCACGTTGGTCCAGTAAGTAGTAGACTCTTACTTTTAATATAATTATTTTTTACAAACTTCGGAAATAAATTTTAAACTTATCTTTCAATTCAGTAACATATTGCTTTCTATACTTCTATCATATATAAAAAAAAAAAAAATTAATATCTTCATTTTTCTTTTTTCGTTTTTTTTTCTGTTGTCTCCATCTTCTTTTTCCACCATTTTCCTTTTCCACATAATTTTCTATATTTTATTTTAACAGTTTCTCATTATTTATTTGTTTTCTCTTTCGTTAAATCATTGTCCTAATTTCTTTTTATTCTACACGATTTCACTGTTGGCTTTTCAATTTTTTTTTTTTTATCTTAACCCTGAGAGTGCTATGGACGTCTATATGCGCTTGGTATATATGACAATATATGTCTTTGTTAATATTAATGTAAAATAATGTAATGTTTATATTAATTAAATTAAATTCTATTAACAGAAAGAAAAAATATAATTATTAAATCTAATTTATTATTAGAATCTAATTAATAACAAATTATCTTCTTCCTACAAAATATTTTAGGTACAAGTATTTAACACTCAAAGGGTTATAACCATTAATAATTATTAATTAATTTTTAATTATTACCATTCTATTTTCTTTCACTCTACGATGCAGATTTCAAACAATTTTGTGTTTAAGTATATAAATTTTCTTTTATAAATTCTAGAATAGAATTATCCAGAATATTCTACATACAATTTTTAGTTCAAAGGAAAAATAATATGGCACTGATGTTGCAGGAGAAAAAAAGTAACGCATACAGTTTAATATTCATTTTTACTATTTGTATTAATAAATATTTCATTAATAAAAACATGAGTGATTTATAAAAGTAATATATCGGTACATTTGCTCAGAAAAACAAAAATAAAGAAAAAAATAGAAATTGTTGTGCAGTATATAATGTGTTGTTTAAACAAATTAATACACTAAGAAAAATATTAAGAGAACTGGATGATTTTGTGTCATATTTGAATAGGAAGCCATAATAGAATTTTTTTGTATAAATTGTATCAGATTTTAAATGAATAACGTGAGAGATAAATACATCTAGAAAAAGTGACTAACGTGGTGCATATGAATTTGAGAAACGTCCTTTGTATTTTATTCAAAAAATTCAAGCAAATGATTTTGTGTAAATGAAGCTCATAAAACAACACGTTTGAAGTTTAATTATGAGCACGTTCGTAGGAAAATAAATAATTTGAACATAATGAAAATATATCAGTAATAAACCAAAATTTAATTTAAATATCTTTTTCAATGTATTCCATTTTATTTATATTCTGGATAGTTCAATTATTTACCAATTGAGGGCTCAGTAGTAGCTACGGTCGTAGTGTAATTATTTATTGATCGGTTTATAAAGATTTGGTCTTACATATGTATATTATATCTTTTTTCTTTAAATAATTTTTAAAAAGTCAATAATTTACTAATATTATTAATTTAAATATAAAGCATTTTATATATAATATATATATATTAGCACTATATCAAAAATCATTGCCCGAATGATCCTTCTTTGTTAGGATATTCGAAGAGGTTTGCTCTTTTGTTCAGTGTTTATGTTCTAAAAGAGCATTCTCCCGATTAGATGCCTCCATGATCACGGCTAATCACGGCGGATAATACAGGAAAGATAATACTTTACTTATCCTTTTCATTACTTTTCAACAATATCCTGTAATGATTCACTAGCAAGAAATATATCTAATGTAGCGGTCCAATGTGTTAATTAAATCAACTAAGTCGAATGTTGTTCAAAAGTGTCTACCTTTCTCCTTGATAAAGATTCAACCTTTAATTAGTTAGACCAGTCAATCATAACATGAAGTATTAGATGACGAGAAAGTTTTTGAATACAATCGCCTAGCTTATTATTTTTCTCAAGAGTTTTATTGCATTAAGCGTAAGTTAGTTTGGTGAAAAATAAAAAAAAAATCCAAAAAAAAAGAAGAAAAAACCTTGATAAATAAAATGTTAATATGTAGGGAGGTGAGGGATATTAAAAAGCTAAAGAAGTTTATTTATTTTTGAATTATATCTTGCGGGACTGCACTTAAAAACAGTCCCGAACTACCAAAAATTATTGCCAGAATGATCCTTCTTTGTTAGGATATTCGAAGAGGTTTGCTCTTTTGCTCAGTGTTTATGTTCTAAAAGAGCATCCCCCCCCTGATTAGCCGCCTTCATGATCACGGCTAATCATGGCCGATAATAAGGGGAAAATAATACTTTACTTATCCTTTTCAACAATATCCTGTAATGATTCATTAGCGAGAAATATATCTAATGTAGCGCTCCAATGTGGTAATTAAATCAACTAAATCGAATGTTGTTCAAAAGTGTCTACCTTTCTCCTTGACAAAGATTCAACCTTTAATTATTTACACCAGTCAATCATAACAAAATATTGGACGGCGGGAATATTTTCTGATAGAATATAATTCATTAAATTATGATGATGTCATGTTAAGCGTTATTTACAAAAGGTTTACAAAAAGAGAAAAGAAAAAAAAACCACAAAAATGTCAAAATTACAGTTCGAATTTCATGTGATTCCTTCTTCAACAGACCCAAAAACAAACATTATAATTATAACCTCAATCATGAAAGAAAATAGAGAAATATATGTCCTACTTTAAGGAATGTGAGAACGTAATTTAACATACCGAATTGAAGATAACTAGCGTGTTTATGAGCTTAAAAGAATTTGCCAAGAGACACGAGAAAAAAATAGTTATGGATTGGTTTGTCGGAAGATATAAAAAAAAGGCTTATTTGGATGAATTTGAGAAGATGAAATTTAAAAATTACTTTTTAGATACAGTAGAGGAGAATAAAGAGAACACATGAAAAGATGAACTAAAAACATTAATACAACCAATAACAATAGCCAATGGAAAAAAAAAGATTGAGAGAAAGATTTAAAAGACATCTCTCAGAAAAGTTTATATTAGATAGATTCAACAGTAAAAATACAAATGCAGAACAATGGATGGAAATATTTGAGAAAGAGTGTAAAAGATTTGACATTACAGAAGACAACGTGAAGATTGGAATATTAAGACTGTTTTTAGACAAATCAGGCCAAGAATGATATTTGCCAACTAACACGGAACTTGGAGAAAAAAAATTGGAAAGAATGAAAAGATTAATTTGTACAAACTTTTGACAATCAAGGTTGGAACACATGGGCATATGCTGTATCATACAGATACAGAGAGGGATCATTATTAGAGTATGACATACGAAAAGAGAAGTTTTTAATAGATGCAGATAAGGAAATGAACATGAAAAGAAAAATTGCATTAATAACAATAGGATTGCCTGAAAATATAAGAGATTGAATAGAGAAAGAGAAAGTAATAGATAGAATTAGTCTTTTTAAAGAAATACGAAAATTAAAAAGCATGCTAATACCCACATAACACGAAAGGTTTAGAAATCTTTCAGTGAAAGTTTTGTAAAATATTTCCAAAAATCTTTTAGAAACCTTGCAGGCATCATTCTAAAATATTTGTAAAAATATTCATAAAAGATTTTACAAAAATATTTTTAAAACATTTCTAAAATATTTTACTGATAGAGTAATCTTTTGCAAGTCTCTGAACGCGGACATTTTCACCTTGTAGATAGATTTTGTAAAAACCTCTTTTTGAAAGATTTAAAACTTTAAAGAAATGTTTTAGAAAGTTTTTATGTTATGTGGGTAAAGACAAGCACAAGAACAAGGGAAAATAAACAAAATTGGATAAAGAAAAATGAAGAAAAGAAACCATGCAAGATATGCGAAAAAATGAATAAAGGCACTACATATCTCATTACGTTTTATAATAAAAGTATGTAGAAATTGCAAGATATGTCTAGAAAATAAAACAAGAGGGCAAAAGAAATATGGATTAATGTCACACTTAAGCCCAGTGACAAAACCTTTTCCAAATTATGTCAATAGATACAATAGGAGGTTTTGGAGGAAATAGATCAACAAAGAGATATTTACACTTACTAGTCGACCATTTTACAAGATATGCTTTCATAATAACATCACGAACACATAATGCAAGAGACTTCATAAAACTAGTAAAAAAAGATAATAGAAATAAACTAAATAGAAATGAATTTAACGGACCAATATTCGGGCATTAATTGAAAAGAATTTAAAGAATTCTTACAAGAGAAAGAAATAAAAGTAATATTTTCGGCCGTAAATTCGCCCTTCTCAAATGGTTTAAATGAATTTTCCCAATAAAGATCACTTGAAGGTTGACATATTGTACCTCGTTGAATTCGTTTTTTCATAAGCTATATAGCCCAAGAGCCCACGACGGCCAGACCTTCGTTATTTTATAAAAGCTGAAAGTTTTTCTGTCCCCTATACAGGTAAGAACGACCAGCGACTATAGAGTTTGGGTTGTGGTTACTTGGGCAGGTAACAGGTAGTAAAGATGTATAAAATAGTACATTAAATTCGTGAAAGTATAAAGCTCCATTTTTATATATTTTCTTCGGGATAACTTTAGAAATCTCGTCATCCATTGCCGGACACTTATGACAGTTGCTATCCCCTGCCAGACACCCCTAAACTGCATACTGGGTATCTCAATGGAGATACCGGTAAAGCAATCTACCTGGTCATTGTATTGATACATTACTATATATAATACTATTACTATATATATTACTATATATAATACATTGTATTATATAATTACTACTGGTTATACTATAAAAAAAGTATAATTATAATTTATTAAAGTTTATAAAGATGATTTATCACTTGTAGATACACTAAAGGGGTAACAACATTCTAGAATTTTCAAAAAATCAATTTTTTTGAGCCCACTCGACCAATTTTTCTCCACGAATGCTTAATAAGTTTGGCATGGAAGCGTTCGTCCCACATTCTACCTCCCCCCCCCCCTACAACAATATCATAATTTTGATTTATCAGTTACAGGTCAAGGGGTAGTAGAGATTTCAGTAATCGAAATTCTGGTACAACAGCATATTGGAATGGTCAACAACAACAACAACAACAACAAATACAACAACAACACCAATCACAAAAGGAATTCAATCCTAAAACCCAAACTAAACAGAACCCAAATCAAAAGAAAATACCAGGAGATTTATTAAAGAAACCTAATTGGGACTTAGCAGCTTTACCAGTAATAACAAAAAATCTGTATATTCCACATGTTAATATTTTAAAACGAACATCAGAAGAGATCAATAAGTACCATACTGGAAAAGAGATTACTGTTAAAGGAAATAATACTCCTCCACCAATACAAGCTTTTGAAGAAAGTAATTTCCCAGATTATGTTATGGAAGAAATAAAGAAACAAGGATTTGCTGAACCTACTGCTATTCAAGCTCAAGGATGGCCAATTGCATTAAGTGGTCGTGATATGGTTGGAATTGCTCAAACTGGTTCAGGCAAAACTTTGGCGGTATATATAATTTATAGTCTATATATAATAGGATATATAAGTTTAAAATGTAATAAGTTTTGTAAAGAAATTTTTTATACAAATTTCAACTTATTAATCCTTTAAGGGGTAACACCACTATAGAGCCTGAAAAAAGCCTTTTTTTGAGCATTTTTGTGCGAAAACTAAATGAGGAATAGAATTTCTTTTTTGAGGGTTGGTTAATCATATATTAAATTATGAAAAAAAATATTTTGATTGATTTTAGATAGAAAATGGCATAGTCGGTATTCGTGACTGAACAAAACCCTGTTTTTTTTTTTTTTTTTTTTTTTTACTAAAATGGGTGGACTCATACTTGGACAACTATGAGACCTATAATAAAAAACAAAAAAAATTCTTTATCTATGTACTATTATCTTGAGAAGTATATACGGATTTTTCCCTAAGTCAAATTTTATGAAAATGGCGCAACTTTGAATAAAAATAATCGACTTTTCGACGAAAAAATATGTAAAAAATTGTTTATAAAATTAAAAGTTTACATTCAATTAAAAATCGGATATGTACTTGTGTAGAAAATACAACTGTCAAACTATCTTCAAACTTTCAAGTCAATCGATTAAATGATGGTTAAATGATGCTCGAGTTCTGAGTCCACCCAGTTTTAAAAATGTAATTTCGAGAAAAACGCGTTTAAAGTTTTATTATCACTATTCGAGGCGCTTCATAAGAATAAGATTTCGCCAAAATTCTATAGTGGTGTTACCCCTTAAGTTGCACGCTTAAGTTAAAAATTGTTTAATAGCTAGTTATAATAAGTTTGTTGGCCTAATAGCTTTTTTGCTTTATTTGTTATTTTATCGTTTGTTTATACTCTTAGACATATTTTATTTATGTTTCACCTTGTAGCATCGTTCAATTCTTAGTTCCGTCCACGGAGTTAAATAATAAGGAGAAAGGAACGATCACTGTGTATAAAAATATCCCCAAAATATAGAATAAATAAAGTTTTTTGTGATATCGCTATGGTCGAGGTGATCACCATACCGCCCTAGTGGCAGAAATAAGTACTAGTATTTTGTTACTTTTTTAGGGGACACAGTTTATGACAAATTCCCTATAGCGATCGTTCTCCTTATTATTGAACTTCGTGGTCCGCCTCTGACAATTTCTTACCTATCTTTTTACTGATGTTTGTTTCTTATTATTTAACTTCGTGGTCTGTCTCCGACAATTTCTCATCTATCTTTTTACTTCTGTTTATTTATTGTTGTTGTTGTTTATTGTAATTTGTTATTAATTATTATCATTGTTGAAGTGAAAACTTCTTTAGAATGAGGGTGACACCGAAAAAAAAGCGAACAGAAATGCGGCAACGTTTCAAAAAGAGACGAACATATAGGATTGAGCCTGCGAGAAAATGAGACAGAATATAGCTATACAGTTTTTCCTATTCTCGGTCTCCGGTGAACTCATATTATCTCGATGCTTAACCCCTGTATGTATGTAGGAGCGATATAAAAGTAGAAAAATAAATAAGTAAAAAATAAATTGTACAAACGAACTGAAAGAACGAAATAAAGAAAGAAGGTATTGGTTTGTTTTGTAAGTGTGTAAGTATGTAAGCTGTGTAAATTGCAAAGCTCTGAAAATGAGAAATTTATCATACATTCGACTCATTCTCTCGAGGCTTGATTTTAACAGGTTGAATGCCTGGGGTCACCGGTGGTCGCAACTTAACTTGGTTGTGGCGCATGGGGGGGGGGGCCACCGGTGATCAGCATGTCCAGGTTACTAGAAATGTATTCCACATCGTGGCGCCATGAATAATTCCGGTAAAATTGGCGTGGCACTCAACTTGTTAACATTTTACTGACTGGTAGCGGTTCGAGAATCCTATGTCCTTCTAGTCCGGGAGCTAGCAACGTCGGGAAAATAATAATTGGGGATAAGCTAATTTTTTGATATGTCGTTCTTCTTGATTTTTTGGTTATAACCTGCACTTCTTGGCTCGCTGTAGGTCTTGCGTTTACTAGTGCGCATCCTACTTGTACAGGTAATAATCCTAGATTTTAAAAGAATGTTGAGAAGCCTAATTTTCTATTTATTGACTTTAGATAGATTTATCAAATATAAATTTTTTATTGCCATGCACTTTTCTCATTGCTAAATATCTGTCATATGCGATTTTTTTTTTTTTTTTTTAATAAAAAATTAAAAGTATCTTGGTATTCGTGTAATTTTAATATTATGTTATTTAAGTATACAGAAACCTAAAATTAATTTGCCAAGTGTTTATTGGCTTGTTAAACCTAGAATAAGAACGACAAACTTATGAAAAGTATTGCAGTATGATGCTGTAGTTCTTATGTTCTTTTGATCATTAAGATAGTTTGGGAATTTATGGCCCTTTGGAATTTCTTAATCTTTACGTAAACAATACCTCATACCTGCTACTTATCGTATTTTATGATATTCTATTTCATAGGCTTATCGCAGAATCTGTTTCACAGAAATTGAATGTTATAAAAAATAACAAATATAAAGTTTATCGTCTACAAAAGATTTGGTACTGAACACCATCTTGTAAACTTGCCAGTTGCGCCACCGTGGCTGTCTATCTCTCTTACACTCTGAACTGTCTCTCTCTCTCTAACTGCTTTCAAGGAAGTCATCGTCAGGCCACGTGCGCCTCTTACAATTAGATGTATCATGTCATACACTGTCAGTCATCGATGACTGACGCGGCCTAAATGGAAGTGTAGTGTCCATCAGCGACGGTGCACGTGGTGTGACGTTCAACGTGTTAACCTTTTGCGGACCTGACGGTTCAAAGTGAACCTTACCGTGGTGCCGAGCTTAGTGGTGCATTGCTTGCCGCAGTAGTCATTTAAAATTGCCAGCGCACATTTCTGCTTAACAGCGCTCAACAGATTTTTGGGGGGGAATATTTTTTCATCACTAGATGAGGAATAGAGTTTCTTTTTTTAGGTTGGTATTGAACTATCTATACAGATATTTTCATTGATTTTAGATACAAAATGGCGTCGATATTCGTGGCTGAACGGAACCCTGTTTTTTGGGGCTAAAACGGGCGGATTCATATTTAATATTTAATTCAATATTTAAAAAAAAACTTCCCCCAAAAAGGCTTTTTTTTAAGACTCTAGGGTGGTGTTACCCCTTAAGAAAACTAACCATTTTAATTCCGGCGCTAGGGATTTTGTAGCTGATATTTAACACGTTGAGTCCGAATTTGTTGTCCTTTATGTTCAGCCAGCAGCGAACAATCAAGCGGTGCAATGTTGCAGAATACTGTTTTTTCCCAGAGACCGACGCCGAATTCAACGTGTTAATAACTTTGATGTTTTCTTTGTATATGCATTCTTACTTATTCTCGTGTCTCTTACCTAACAAATGTAATTCTGTATCAGTAATTTGTATATAAAAATTGATATTAATATTATTACGTATTGATAGTTGATACATAATCAGCCGGCGACCTAAGAGACATTTAAAGCCTGAGCGCCATCGTGAGGCAGCTACTCAAGCGACAAACTCAGAAACCCGCGTTTTCGCGGGGCCGGCGCTCAAGCGACAGTCTCAGAAACCCGCGTTTTCGCGGGGCCGGCTGTCAATGTGTTAAGAAAACTTGGTTAATTTTTGTTATTTTATTTTCAGTATATTCTTCCTGCAACTGTTCATATTAACAATCAACCTCGATTAAGTCGTGGTGAAGGTCCAATCGTCTTAGTTCTTGCTCCTACCCGAGAATTGGCACAACAAATTCAATCAGTAGCAAAAGATTTCGGCTCTTCATCCTGCATTCGAAATACGTGCATTTTCGGAGGATCTCCAAAAGGACCACAAGCAAGGGATCTCGAAAGAGGCGTTGAAATTTGTATTGCAACACCTGGAAGGCTTATTGACTTTTTGGAAAAGGGAACTACAAATTTACGAAGATGCACATACCTTGTCCTAGATGAGGCTGACAGAATGTTAGACATGGGATTTGAGCCACAAATTCGAAAGATTATCGAACAAATTAGACCAGATCGTCAAGTTCTGATGTGGTCGGCGACATGGCCCAAAGAAGTACAAGCTCTAGCAGAAGATTTTCTCACGGATTATATTCAGATTAATATTGGTTCGTTGACTTTAGCCGCAAACCATAATATTAGACAGATAATTGAAATATGTCAGGAACATGAAAAAGAATCAAAACTGTCGAATTTATTGAGAGAAATCAGTGGTGAACGTGGAAGTAAAGTCATTATTTTTGTTGAAACTAAAAAGAAAGTAGATGATATCACAAAGTCCATTAAGCGAGAAGGTTGGTCAGCTATCTCCATTCACGGTGACAAGTCACAACCTGAACGAGATTATGTATTATCTGAATTTAGAAATGGAAAAACTATGATCTTAGTTGCAACTGATGTAGCTGCACGTGGCTTGGATGTAGAAGATGTCAAGTATGTTATTAATTTTGATTATCCGAATAGTTCAGAGGATTATATTCATAGAATAGGTCGTACTGGTCGATGCCAAAGTGCAGGAACTGCTTATGCTTATTTCACTTCGAATAATGCAAGACAAGCTAAAGAATTAATATCTGTTCTGGAAGAGGCTGGTCAAGTAATAAACCCTCAATTAGCAGATATGGCTAATTCTATAAGAAATCAATTTGGAAAGGGTAGACAGCGTTGGAGTTATGGTCGCTTTAGCAAGGATAATAATTCAGGAGGAAGTCCTAGAAATAACACTAGCCCTACCATTACAAGTTGGCAAAATAATCAACAGCAAAATAGTCAACAACAGATTGTTAGAAATCCACAAAGAATCAACATGCAACAACARCAAAATGATTATCAGACCAATCGTCAAAATAATTACCAGCCAGCTGTCTACCAACAACATCAACATCATCAACAACAAAATCAGCAGTCCTTACATCAACAGCAACAACAACAGCAACAACAACAGCAGCAACAACAACAGCAGCAGCAGCAGCTACAGAATCATCAACAACAGCAACAACAACAGCAACAACGTCAACAAAATAACAATTATCATCAAAACGGATATTCATCTAGTAGTGCTTGTCAATCATACCAAAATTGTAATCGATATCAAGTCAGACCAAATAATGGTTATCAAGGAAGTCGATATAATGCTAGACAAAATGGATATTCAAATGGCCAAAATAACCAAAATGTTTATTCAATACCACCAGCATTTATTATGCCATCAGGTGGACCTACTGAGTCTGGAATACAAAGTCTTGTCAACAACAAGTTCTTTCAAACTAACCGTCCACCACCAAATACAGGAGCTTGTGCTTATCAATCAATGGGATACGGGCAGTTCCAAGCCGTGCCGCCATATGGTTATCCTTATCCACCAACACAGGTACAGCAGTGATGCATTAAATGGAAATCAGCAGCCATTCAAGCTAAGTAAAGTAATTTCTCTATTATTCATTTCTATTTCCCAAACAATATTTATCGATTTCTGTCAAATGATGGGTTCTTCTTTTGGGGTAATATTCTTAATGTAATTTGTTTCTTTCTTACTCGCTTGAAATGATGCCGATTAACAGGATAAAAGGACATCAAGTTTTTTTTTTTGTATGTCCACAAAGGTTTGTATTATTTAAAGTCTAATCCAGTATAGGATTATTTTTCAATTTAATTAGATAAGCTTTCTACAATTAAAATTTATATTATAATTTAAATAAAAAAAAAAAAAGAAAAGAAAAACAAACAAAAAAAAAATAGAAAAACAGAAAAAAACAAAAACAGAAAAAAAACGAAACAAAAAAAATTTAATACCGTTAATAAATTTGAAATTTTATTCACTGTCAAAACGTAATTCAAACAATAAATTAGTTTTTGATCCAAGGCTCATTTCAAGCGAGTATTATTCAGTACTAAATAGTTCTTTGAAGAAGATAGATGATGGTAATAATATTCGTTATATTCATAGCTTCTAATTGCAAAGGTAGATAACAACATTTGTCACAGGTCTTTATGGTAATTTAACAATAATCTTGTCTAGCGATATTACTGATAACTATATAGTTATTATATATATATATATATATACATATATATTTCAAAATGCACGAAACATACAGAAAGCATAGTTGGGGATAAGGAAAGGAGGGTGGGAATAAGGAAAGGAGGGTGGGTAGGTGGGCCTATTATATATATATATACATATATATATGTATGTATATGTATATATAAATATATATATATATATATATATATGTATGCGTATATATATTATAATTTTGTTTATGTATATATATGTATATATGGATATATAATATGTATACATAAACAAAACTTACCTATATATGCTATTCTGAAATGCAGGAAACATATAGAAAAAGAAAAGGTGAGTGAGGTAGAAGATAATTTATAATTTATTTAATACTTTGCGTAAATGCAGGTGATGCTCTTCAAAATGTAAGGCCTTTTGCATAAAAATTAAGCCATGCACCCTTGCAATTGAAATACGATATATGTATTTGAAAAAGATGGTAAACGAGTAAAGAAACTTTACTGAAAATATGTAATTTTCCTAGATACAAAAGAATATAGAATGAAAAAGTACGATTTGAATGTTAGGAGGAAAAAAGAGAGTCATTAATAAATAAATGAATAAAAAAAATAAAAAGAAGAAGATATTAATATATCATTATAAAAATATATCGTGCTTCGATGGATTCATCATAACGTTAATTATACACAGAGGCAGCAAAGGGGGGGTATGGGTTTTTAGGTGTTAGAAGTAATTGAGCGCGTAGTCACTATGGCTGTGCACTTTGGAACAAAGTTCGATAATCTTATTTTTATATATATATATCAAAAATAATTTGTTGTTAAGCCAACGAATGATTATATGAAACATTGTTGTTTGATGTTTATGCAATTGGCCACCGAGTGGTCTTGCCTTTGCGCGTCATCGTACCGGGCACGCGTTGGTTAGCCGCAATCCATGAGATTTTCAATCGTACACATGTTTTTTAATTTGCGTGTCGAAATCTTTCGCACATCACTTTCACTTTGGGGGAAAAGAAATTAATTAATAAAAAAAAAAAACAAACAAACAAACAAAAAGAAAAAACATAAACAAAGAAGAAAATGAAATAAGCAAACGACAAAAAAGGGACACTACGACATTTTTATTACTCTAATGTAAATGTTTGATAAAATGTATGTGGTATGCCACTACCTTTAACGTAGTAGGTAAATTAAGTGTAAACAAAATATACGAACGTAAGTGTTGTAGCGTTTAAAGTTAAACTTCTAACTAAAACAAAAATCGTATTAGAAATTCGCAACGTATATGATGGGGAAGGCAAATTTCATTTTGCAAACCTGCGAATGATATACTCGATAAAATGTTGTTTCCGCGCTCAAGGCGAAAGTATTCAGTTGAAATAAGAGATAATGGGTGTTGAGGGGGTTGACGGGAGGGTGGGAGGGAGGGGGGTTGATTAAAATATAAAAAAAAAGAAACCAAGACAAAATAAACATACATACGAACAAATAAATAAATAAACCGAAAGGGAGAGTCTCTTGCGGATGATATATTATCATGATTCATGACAGTTACTCGCGGAACTTTTTGTTTTTTCTATTCTTTTTTTTTTTCGATCTCTCTCTTTCTCTATCTATCTATCTATCTATCTATCTATCTATCTATCTCTTTCTTTCTTTCTTTCTATACATATATTCTTTTGATATATATTTATGTATATATCAAATTTATGTCAGAAGAATTAGGAAGAACTTTAGTTTTTTACATCATCATGTACATATACAAGATGTTAAAAAAATAATCATTGAATATTTGTGCAGCATATAGAACATATTATACCAAGTAAACAAAAGTCTTAGTTAACATAGGTCAAAATATCAACCATTTATGAAAAATAAACACTTTTGTATATTACTATCATAGTCGACTATGTTTATTAAAATTGTTTTACTCGGTATATAGTGTGTTCTATATACTCTATAATTATTTAATGTTTTTTTTGAACTCCTTGTATATGTAGGATACGTGAAAGGGGACTTGAACTGTTGGATTGAGTATATAGTTTTTTAAAGGTTAAAACAACTTATTATAACTGAAAGGTACAGATTCGAGTTCTAATTCGATCAGATCAACGGGGACAAATTTTTTCACGGATTCTGTGTATATGTATATATATATATTTGTGTGTGTGTGTATTTAGTAATCAACGGTTCTCGGCTCTTTATTTAATTTTAGGTTATGTTCGATCACGGGATTTAAATCGAGATAGATCAAATTAATCGAATGAGAATTAAAGTTAAGGTTAATGGTTAGGGTTAATATTTGGACGAAAAATTATTTCGAAACATCATGTCCTGTTGATTCTAAGAACGGGGAAAGGTCATCAGGGGTTTGGAAAGAAAGTGTCATTGTTCCTCAATTTCATAAAAGGGGGAGAATAGTCATGACAATATATATATATATATATATATATATATATATATATATATATATATATCTTTTTATTTATTTATTCTCATTCTTATTCGATTTTTCTAAAATCCCCATTTGATTCGTTACTTGTTGATTACGCACAATATTTAAAAAAGGGAGGGAAAAAATTATCCTGTGAACCGCGGTGCTTAAAATCATTTGATTTTCAATATTATCGTGTCTCTTGTACATTAAATTGAGATGATTCTTGACGAATGCATTATTATGCCATTATTAATGCATTTTAATTAATGACACGATTATCGACATTTGTTTTTCTACGCACTGTTGGGCTAGGAATTGAAATATCTGATATATTTTGATACATTCGATGTAATTGAAAGTTCTAATCGATTTTTGAATTTTTATTTCATTTCTGTCTTCATATTCTCATTTTTCTTCTTCTTCTACTTCTACTTCTATACTTTCTCTTCTTCTTCTTCTTTTTTTCATTTTTTTTTAAATTTTATTTCTTTTTCCCCCTCCAATTCATCGATCCGATCGCTTATTGGGCGTTTTGAATCGAATATAGTTAATATACGAATAGAAAGCGAATATTGTGAGTATAAAAAAAAACTCTTAACGTTTTCGCATATTTGCGTGTGCCCTCTATCGATTCTTATTCAAATCATTCAAATCACATTTATTTATTCATATATTCATTTCATCGTAAGCGTATTATTATTATTATTATTATTTTGGACATTTTCAAAAACGATTTATATATAAAATCATAGCTGGTATAGTCTCCGTCCTATAATTATCTTTTTCAGTACTTGATTTGATTATTATTCAAATTAATCAACATTAACGCCATTTACCATTTCTTCTTTTTTCTTTCTAAAATTAACACACTATAAAGGATGACAATATTAATAATAAAAAAGTTAATTCGATATTTTGAATCATAATTAACAATTCTAACCTCCAGTGAGACACGGTTCAAATTTGTTCCACAGTTAAGTGTCCATCAAAAAATCGTGAAATCTAATCGTGATACAAATGGTGATACAAATGATGATACAAAACAAACTTTATATACAAAAATTTTTCAATTTTTATCAAATTGTATTGTATGGAAAACACCGTGTGTTTTTGGAGGGAAATGTCGCCATTTATAACCCCCACTGTTATATATATATATATATAAAAAAAAATTGAGGTTATCTTGGAAAAAATTCGACGAGATAAAAAAAATTCTATATGAAAATGCTCCCGATATTTATCTTTTTGTTCTTTGTTGTGTCATTTCTTTAATCAAAAAGAAAAAAAAAATGTTATTCAGAAAAATCGCGTTCCCATTTTCAGTTAATGGTGTCCTCTTCGCCTGTCATAGCTTTTTGTTTGATAGTGGGTGCACGCGTAAATCTGTGATATGTAAGATGTAGCGTATTAATAGATCTACTGTTCTGTCATGCATGATGATTAAAGTAGGAGACGTGTATCTCATCGGTTTTTGATGACGTGGGTAATACCATATCATATATTATCTCGGTGAACTTCCATCGCAGCCTATTATTATCAATAATATACAGAAATTGTGGATGACTAATTTTACTGCCTAAGATATTATTATTGTATTATTACATCTCTACAAGTACATAAATATATATATATATATATATATTATTAATTCATTGTTAATACAGGAATAGAAAGTTATTTCAGTTTAATAATATATATTAATTATTTAATAATAAACATGTCACACATTTAAAATTTATAATGCTAATATAATAGATCTTATACGATCATTACAAATCGTTTTAAATAAATTCGTACTTGTTGAAATAAAATTACTAAAAAAAAAAATACAAAATAAAAAGGATGAAAATATGAACAAAATCTTAGGCAGTATAATCAGATTGACCTCTTACTGTATGAGAAAAGAAAGAAGGAAGCCGTGAAAAGAGAAAAAAAAAACAGTATTTTTGTGAAATCCGATATGAAGGGAAAAAATTCCATTCTATTT